TTACCTAACGACGTGAAAAAATTGGTGTAAGAGATGAGTGTTTAGAAATTGTACCAGCTGAAAATGTACAGGAAAATACTGTTGAAATAATTAAACAAGAAAGAAGAAGGTAATCAAAATTATATAAATGCTCGATTTCGTTCACCACTTGCCAATTATTTACCACATTTGGTAAGTAATTAAAATTATTTTAATCATTTAATTAATATTATCTTTTTTCTTTTGTTATATTTATTTAAATAGATTCCATCTCAAGTAAAGCCATCGACACGTTAGAAGACCCGGGGTCTTCTATTCTGTCTTATCATTCATAAGTTAAAAGGGGGGTCTTCTATTATGCCCCTAAAAAAAGTCATATTTTTTGGTAGTTCCGTCAACAAATCTTAGTTTCACTTGATTTTTGTCCAATATATTGGTAGTAAATGAGTTTGCTTCACTTATTTCACATGTGTAGAATAAGAAAGAAACAGATATCATCCTGTGAAAAAGAGGAGACCATCGTTGGTAAGAAGTGTTCTTAGAACAATACAGTCAACGTAGCCTAGCATCTTGGTACGATATCCCATACCATTCTTTTTTCTCTAGGCTAAGACCTATCACTGGCAACATTTTACCTTCTCAATAACTAAATAAGTGTAAAAACAGAAAATTAATTTTTTTTATCAAACTCATTTTATTCAGTTGCTTATATGGAAATTTGATTAGTATATATGGAATCTATTCACAGTGAATTCTGCTACTAGCAGAGTTATTAATCTCAAGCTAACTTCAATGAATACGATTGTCTTGTGAAGAAACCATCTATAAAAAATCAGCAGTTGAATACAGACAGCGTGTTTTCTTTTGCGTCAGTTTCAAAAAATGCCATTGGATCTTATTGAAAAAAGAAATGCGTTCTCAAACTCAAAAGAAGTACTCACATATCAAATCTTGACGTATATACAGTCTACGCAAAAAACTCTGGGACACTCAAGAATGGCTCCCCGAAATTTCATCTTTCATTTGAAATAAACTTTATATATATTTTTTAAGTATAGTTACTGGTTAAACTTTCGTACTTTACTGTGCAGATGCAAAACTTCTAGTTTTAATACTATATGAAACTTTAACCAGTAACTATACTTAAAATATATATAAAGTTTGTTTCAAATGAAAGATAAAATTTTGCAGAGTCATTCTTGAGTGTTCCAGAATTTTTTGCGTAGACTGTACATGAAGTTATGTTTTCTTCAATTATGAAACACTGTTTTGTTGTGAAAACGTTTCTGATTTTCTAGAAGAAAGTCAAAGATAAAGAGACCTTTTAATTAATACAAAGTGGTATTTTACCTAATCTGTTATTAGTCTACAAAGATCCCTTCATGTGTTACATGCACGAACGGGCACTACGTTCATTAGATCCTATGACTATGAAAGCGTGTTTTTCGTGTATAGAGCCTGAAGAATGTTTTCAAAGTAAGCTGCAAAGAAGTGCTAAAATGACTCCATGATATGTTTTTACAAAGAAACGCAATCTTCAATAGATAGTTGTTTCCTATTAACTGCTTCTCTAGATTTTACTCATTCGAGTCTGATACTTCGTTATGAGGGAGGAAGCAAAATATTGTTCGTACCGAATTTCGATATCATTCTGGGCT